CGTTATAATCCTTCCTCGATATATGTGCTTTTGATGGTGACCTGATAAAGGATAAATCATACATATGTATTTTAAATAATCTTTTAAATTATGCTTTTATTCAAAAGTAGTAAGACTTTACAAGTATTATTATAACTTTATAGCTATCACCAGCTACATGTACTAGTACTTGATGGTAGTCCTGATGGTTTTTTTTTTTGGGGGGGGGGGGGTCATAGCGTAATGTGTCTTGAATCGTTTCGCGTTTCCAAATTTGCGAACCTTATTTACCACTGTACTTTGCTCAATTCATATACTTGGGAATACCCAACAGTCATTAATCACAACTAATACAAACAAAAAACAAACCAGATAAATATGTCTACTTAATCAATAAATTCACGATATTATCCATGAACTTGCAATCCTGACCGAGTAATTGTGCCATTTAAGGAGCTCATGTGACATTTTTTTTTCGATGTTGAAGGTTTGTTGATCTACGAAACAGGACATATTATAGAACGGCAATTAAAAGCTACAAAAAATTTTATTATCATTATAACGAAACATTATGAATATAACTTATTTACTGGCATTGCTGGCCGGGACATATGTAGCGGTAATGATTTGTATTCGGCAATAATCTTATTGAAAACAAATATAGCGGAAACTTAAAATTTTTGTAATGTAGCGGTAGTTTTGTTGACAATATGAGCACTGTGCACACAATTTTAACTTAATTTATGTCAGATATTCTGTAATATCGGTTTTGCTCAAATGCCTAGAGTGTAAAATATACCAGCGATCAACTTTATGCATATAATTATACGTTTACCTCAGACCCGCTTCATCATAATGCTTGAATCTTGAGGGGGCTCGGAGTCCCCCCCTCTCCGGTTGCATTTCAGCAGTATAAAGTATCTTTTCAAACTAAAAAAAAATCACATTGGAAAAAATTCCATCACCTCGTGAAACACGGATTCCTTGTATCAAGGTAAAAAAAATACATGAATCTGAAGAAAATTGAATAAGGAAAGTCCCTTGTCAAAACCACCCGTTTCCCACAAAATGAGATTTCCTCTAGGCTATTCCTTGAGGTAATATTTGAGGAATACGTCAGGCACGTAGCAACGGGGGGGGGGGGGGGATACAAGGAAAATGTAGTATTGTAGTTAAAAGAAATTGGTACTGAAGCAAATCTGCATTGAAAAAAATATGGCTTCTACACCACCCTACCCCCCCCCCCTCCATCCCGGAAGTCGGATTATCGGCTTTGGGCAACTTTTATTTTTTTTAGCTCACCTGAGCCAAAGGCTCAAGTGAGCTTTTCTGATCAAAATTTGTCCGTTGTCTGTTGTCGTTGGCGATGTCGTTGTCGTCGTTAACTTTTCTCATTTTCGACTTCTTCTCAAGAACCACTGGGCCAATTTCAACCAAGCTTGGCACAAAGTATCCTTAGGTGAAGGGGATTCATGTTTGTTCAAATGAAGGGCCACGCCGCCCTCTACCAGAGGGAGATAAATATGAATTAGTGAAAAATTAATGACATTTTCAAAAAATCTTCTTCTCAAGAACCACTGGGCCAGGAAAAATGAAACTCATGTGGAAGCATCCTCATATAGTGTAAATTCAATTTTGTTCAAATCATGACCCCCGGGGGTAGGGTGGGGCCACAATGGCCGATAAAAGTTTTACATAGGAGTATATAGGGAAAATCTATAAAAATCTTCTTCTCAAGAACCACTAGGCCAGGAAAGATGACACTCATGTGGAAGCATCCTCATATAGTGTAGATTCAGATTTGTTCAAATCATGACCCCCGGGGATAGAGTGGGGACACAATGGCTGATCAAAGTTTTACATAGGAATATGTAGGAAAAATCTTTATAAAAATCGTCTTCTCAAGTACTTCAAATCAATGATTCGCGATAGTATAGGAAGATTTTTTTAAAAAATCTTTTTGTCAAGAACAGCAAAGTCAAATGCTGTATAAACATTAAGGCGGAGGATGTCTGAAACTGATCTAGGTAACTCGTGGAAAGAGAATGGAGGGGATGCTCTATATACAAAGCAAATGTCTGTGGGGAATGCCCTAATTCCCAGAAATAAATTCTTTGATTCATCATTTGAATTTTAAAAAAAGATATATAAAATATCTCAATTTTTAAGATATGATGACGCATAAAGTTTTTACACGTAAGCAGTATTCGAGTAACTAAAGCTCTCTAATGATTACAATTTATTCCCCATAGTTTCCACCGGGCTTTATTTTTCTAATATGTAGGAAAAAATCGCTTCTGCCCTTTAAATATACCGAGGACCTTAAAAACCATGTACAGTCGCAAAAGATGGGTTTTGTGTCCATTTTTATTTCTAAGGTTAAAAAAGGAATAGACATGAAACCAGGGTTTTAATATTATGTCGATATTTATTTATCATGCGTTTCTAAAGGAGTGTCCTCAGGTTCGAAACATTTGAGCATTGTGCAGTGCGCCGCCTGTGTAATACAGCTACCATTTTTCAATAAGACAGATTTCAATTGTGTGTTAAACGTTGGAAAGGGGGATGATCGTAATGCAACACAAAAAGGAAGGTCATGAGGAACGGGTTTTGGATTTTAAAAAAATCCATACTACATTGTAAATCAACAGCAGAAAGCTAGTCTCGGAAAAAAAGAAGGGGGAGGGGCAGTACCACGGTCCCGCTAACAATATAGAATGAGCGTTTATTCCCACTGTATTCCATTAATTGTAAAGTAATTATACGGAAAACTTTACAAATATACTTATTATTATAATTTAAAAAAATTAATATAACTTACGTGCCAGGGGTAAATTCTGTTTAGTGTCGCTAAATCAAATACTGGTTAGAGTACCAAAATTCATCAACAACAACGTGCAACATCGTCAAGACGGTCCATCCGTCGTTTCCAATTTTTCATTATTTCGATAAATATATAAAGGATACAATCGGACTTAGTCCGACGGAAAAATGAATGTCAACAGTTCCTGAGATTCTGTAAAATACTGTCAAATTCCTACCCCAATCTCTGCAATGGCCAAAATGATAAAATATAAACTTAATTGCAAATGAAATTCTTAAAATATCTTTGAATGGATTGGTTTCTATATTTTCCAGACAATCGCACGGCGTTTTAATTCATACAGGATCTTTGTATGACGCTCGAGAGACATGTCTTTCAATAACATCGTCTAGCAAAATGAACGTCGGAACTGACGTTCCTACCGCTTAAACACAACTTTTTATCATAATTTTCGATGTGTTACACGTTATTAGATATACAAGTTATATATTGTTAGAAAGATAAAGTTCTCAACTTTTGAGTGCGATAAACCTCAATTTAGTTCAAGGTTCGGCGAAAATCAACCAATAACGTACTTTGTTCTTTACTAACCTTCTTAATAATTGCTTTAATATGAAACTACAGATTTGTTCAAAAACCGTCGAGTTGGAGATAAACTGTATATTCATTTAATTTCTATCGTAGGTACATTGTAATATATGGAAACCGGTGTTTCAGAGTAGGACTTCCCCCATAGCCAGCTTTCCCACGGAATTCGTACTCTAGAGTAGGATTAACCCCTCGAAGGAAATTCTCACACTAGAGCTAAATTTCACGCTCATTCTTCCTCAGAGTAAAAGCATCCCCTTCTTTTAGAGTCAATAATTCACAGCTGCAATATTTTTGTGAAAAAATTAACGATAAACTGATTTTAAATGGTAAATGGTGTTTTTTTTTTTTTTTTTACTTATCTAGAAAAATGTTCCAATCATAAATTTCTAATCACGGAATGTCAACCAAAATATTTAGTTTTTTTTTTTTTTAAGAAATACACGTTAATATACTAATATTCTATGCTTTGATATAAAAAAAAAATTAGCGCAATATCTCCATTTGTTAAGGAAAACATTTCGGAAAATTCTTTAAATTGAAAAGGTCGTAATTCTGTAATAAAAATATATTTAAGCGGAATAAAATGCAACTTCGATTTTTAACTCATCGATATACGAGGGTCATTCAAAAAGTTCGTAGACATTTGCCCTAACTTTTTTATTTAACGTCATACTATATCCAAATTTGGTACATATATTATAACAACAGATTCAAATAATTATAGTAAAAAAATTGGAATATATCTTCATATCTATAAAAATTATCAAAGATTTAGAATAGCAAAAATGGGGTCACGGAGCACCGTCAAAATTGAGTAATTTACTAATTTTCACTATATAGCATTTATAGCCATATCTCTAATAAATGGAGCTGAAACGAAATAAAAATTACTACATTTTTAATCAAGTATTGCTGTATTAAACAAATTGATATCAGGCTATGTAATATGTCGCTCCACTTAAAAGATATTAGTTTCTAAATACATATGGACTTGATTAAAAAAGGCAAAAAACCATGACGTTGGAGCAGCGAGTTGCATTCGGGGAACTTTTTTCACAAACTTAAAAAACTCTGTATAAACCAGGATCTGTATGAAAAATAAGCCGTGTATTTGCATAAAATGAAAAGTACAATTTCAGAGCGGTAGCGAGTTTGAATCGGACGATGGATTGTCTGCAAAGAGACTGGTTATGGTTAAAAATATTGTCAAAAGAGTTAGGAACGTCATTAAACGTAATGTGCGCTTCACTTTTGCAGAATTGATAGAGATGCATGGTAGATTAAAGAAATTGAAAACACTGACAATCTTATCCAAGTTGTATTTGCACAATTGTTAGCAAACTAGGTGTTAAGTGTTATGGAGACGTTTTATGAATGAAGAAGACGCTACAAACTGTGTATGAAATTAAAAAGCGGAGTAATTTTGAGAAACTTTCTCAGCGTTGTTTTTTTGACGTTACAATGTTGTTTGACCGTGCTCCGTGGTAACAAAACACGTTGCTTTAAAATTCGGCTAACATGAGTTCTATTTATTCAATTGGAATGAAACTTCACACTTCAACAGAATAAATGTTTTTGTTTACGATAATGTGTTAATCAAAAATTTTGTAATAATAATATGACGATGAGGAACATTGTCTACGAATTTTTTGAATGACCCTCGTACACCCAATACAAAAAATCAATTAAGTATCTTAAAATATTGAGAAAAAAAGTGCGATTTACCATTTGGGACAGACAAGGGACATCTAGACAGACAAAGGGACAACTAGCTCTGGTGTGGGATTTCTGCATGGGAAATCCAGGTCTAGCCAGTTTTCCGGGAAGAAAATCCTACTTTAGAGCCAGTTTTCCAGGGAGGAAATCATACTCTAGAGCCAGTTTTCCGGAAGAAAGATTTTAGTGCATTTTCATCTGTTCTATGGTTTGTCTTTAAGGGCACGGCAAAAGTAGAAGTCAGAAACGAAAATGTATTTTCAAGTCTTCGAAAACAGACATAATTTAAATAATTTCGTTTTCATTATCGATAAATCGGTTTTTTTTATTTTAAACAATCCAATACTAAAAAGAGCAAACTAAACTACTTTCATGTTATATTGTTAAACATTATAATTGTGTTATATTTCTTGACTTTAATTTCTGCATTATCGTTTAGGTGCAACAGTTTCCAAGAAGAATGAGGATGAAGCGTTCAAAAGTGCACTCGATAGGTTTAAGTTTAAAAGGTGAAATATCATTTATCCAAAAATTTCTGTATAATATTTGGTTTGAAGATAAAACATTTTTAAAGAACACCATTTATTTGGTTATTTTATTAAGTTTCAACAGGGGGGGGGGTTGCATTTTTCTATGGGTGAATGGTATAAGTCGACGGATAAAACATGAATTGTTTTCTGGAATAAAATACTGTGAGTTTCCAGTATATGAGGGTTCTTTATCGTGCAAACGGTTACTTTGACACAGGACCTACGTTTTTAAGATCATATCCAAAAGACCCATGACTTTCATGTCTACATGTAATGCCGAGTGCTTTGGCAAGGAACAGTCACTATGTATGTTTACGTCTTATATTTAACGCGGTGCCGCAAACGACAATCGTAGCGCCTCCCAATCATGAAGCGAACGCTTTTCCTTAGGCTACAGTGACAGGTAGTCAAGATATAAAAAAAAAAGGAAAGAACCGTCGATTCAGCTTGTTAACACTGTAATGGCCTAACACTAAGAATGAAAAAAAATCTTTAACGTTAAAGTTTAGTAGGAAAGCCGAATTTAGTCTTATATGCTATATTCTCACAAATATGCATATCAGCTAGACCTTATATTTTAAAATCATTTTCAGGGCAAACCATCATATGATAATTGCTGTGCTGAGGGCAGAATAAACATTAAGATAAAATTACCTGCGTGGGGCATTGGTTAGAACGCCTGCTTTATAAGCGCGGATTAAGGAATCAATCTTTACCAACCCCAATACTGAAAGTATCATATTCGTAAATTTCTGCGTACAGAATTCCTCTAGTATGGATGTAATAAATTATATGGAGACAACGAACAGAATTGAAGCTCAAACGTTCATTAAACTTTTCATATTTTAAAACAGATCGAACATAGACCTCGAAACTATTAGAGGAATGATCAGTTGCCATGAAGAAGAGAACATCCCATATCGACCAGTCACCTCTGCAATGAGCTCTTTATCATGATCTTTTTGGATTGATTGCATATTTTTTAACGTCTCAATCGAGAATTTTTCACGGTAAAGCCAGGGCTTTGGAATAGACCTACACTCAGCACTAACGGCCATTGAGCAGTGAGGGTTCTTTATCGTACAAATGCTTACCTTGACACGGGACCAACGTTTTTAAGATCATCTCAAAAGACCCATGACTTTTACTTTTAATGCTGAGCGCTTGGGGAAGGAACAGTCACTACCTATGTTAAAGTCCTGTTTGACGCGGCGCCACAAACGACTATTGTATCGCTTTTCGAACACTATTTTTTTGACAAAAGCAATTTTAGATATAACTCATATTTGCAGGCATAGAGAAAAAAGGACATCGTATATGGAGACCCTCCTGAGATGTTTTGTGATACTACGAAGTTCTGAATTTCGAAATGCACCAAGACCACTTCAAAACTCCACTGTAGCCGAAACCCTTAGACGATGCAATAGAATTTTGGTAAGAACAATATATATATAATCACTAATTTGAATTTAGTTTTCAATTTGTCAAATACGTTTACTTTGGCAATTAGTCATTAGTTTGAGTTTCCATTCTTCCATTTCACTATTATAATTTATGATATACTGGTAATTACACCAAAAATTAAGAGGAGTAAAAAATAGTGATGAAAGTCACTGAGGTACGCAAAAGAAAAATTAAGATAAAATCGAGAACTTAAAAAGTCAAAACCTTAAAAATTCAGTAAAGGAAAATGAATGCGTATTTTTTTTTTTTTTTAGATGTATTGATTTTGAGTTTCAATCTTCAAAGATAATTCGGGGAAGGGGGAGGAAGGGTAGGGGGGAGAATTGGCAATGCATAAGTAAATATATGTACGAGTACTTACACAATTGATCCTATGATTTTGAAACTCCCAACCCCCCGTTGTTTGAAAAAAAAGTTCAAAGTTTCTCTACTCCCCTTTTTTCAGCCTAGAAATGTTTACTGCAGAAACATTTTTTTTCCAACAGGTTTATCAAATATGCAAGATAACTTAGAGTATTTGAGTTCAAAAGTCCAATAAAAATACCAAATTAGGAGCAGAGTAAACGCAGATTATGACAAGCAATATTGAAAAACGATGTTATTAGCGTAAAAAATTATATTTTCAACGTATTTAAATTTATTATTTATTCTTTTTAGAGACCCGACTGGGAGGAACATGTGCCTACACCAGTCGCCTGTAGTTTTTAACAGAGCAATTACAATGTATTCAATTGTAAATTAAAAGATTCAAAACCTTGAGTCAAAACTTATATTGAATTAATTGTTATGTGCACATTTAATAGTTAAGGGCATGCGCTTGCAAGGGGGGATCTTCCTATACAGGACATCTTCCATTCAACGACCTCTATCAGCATCTCAAATTCCGACAGATGCATTTTCTAAACATACCACGCTGAGGTGATATCGAGTGCAGGGCTCTATGATCATGTGGAGAAGGCCAGTAAACTCACTCGCACTTCCCTTCTTCTTCTAACAACGTTAAGGTGTGGGGTAGCCTTTTTTCCCTGAACATTACATGACAAAAACTCGAATTTTCAAGCATTTGTGACCTAAGGCTATGTAAATATATGTTTTTTTTTCTGAAAAACAAGACATACTCTTTTTTCTGAAATGAGTGAAGCGAAAAACTGATTAGATTTACTGACATATAGTCTGATATAGATTCGTGTCGCAGTGCATGGGTGTTAATTATTATTTATTCAATAAACCTTAAAATATATCAGATAAGAGGAAAAAGGTCGAGTTTGATTGAATTTCATTATTTTGTAATTGGGTATTAAATGAACTTTGTCCTAAAAACTCTAAGTAAGGAAAACATTACCTGCAGAACTGAAGCGTTATGTTTTTATATTTAGTCGTTGAACATAACGCCACAGATCCCCTCACACGAAGACGACTCAGCATTTTCTGCGCTTGGTTTAGGAGAATTTCTTTCCATTTTCCAGCACTGACCCATCAACAACGTTATCTTTTAATTTCCTAATTCTAGACATAATTTGAAACTATCCTGAATATTTATCGGCCTCCTAACCTTTTATGGTCCTCTCTACAGACCCATATACATATACTCGTCAGTCGTGCATTTGTTGTTGAATGACAGAAAATTCAAAACAACACATTTTATTGGTATGTGAAGAAGGATAAAATTTACAAGTTGGTTACAAAGTATGTCTAGAATTAGGAAATGAAAGCTTTAGGTAGCTGATTGAATTATGCAGGAAAGTGGTGAAATTTTTCCAAGCCATCACTTAAATTCTGTATTCGGTGATGGGTCAAGTCGATAAAAATATGATTTAGTAAGAAAGAAACAAATTACGTAATTTGCATATTCATGCATCGTAATCAATCTGCTCCATATGATTATGAAAATAACTCAGCAGTCGAATGTGTTTCTGAACGTCCACAAAATGAAAATTCTGAAACATATAAAAAAAAATTGGCATTAGATTTCGAGAAAGTTAATGAATGCAGAATGTGACAATTTTTGAAAGAGGGCATACTTATCAAGAAACTGGGACAAAGACAATGAAACTGGAAAATGGAATAGAAAATTAGTTTACTATCTATTCAGTTTCACAACATATTTATGCAATTTTAAAATCAAGTCTCTGGACATTGTTTCAAATAAAAAGGTAAATTACTGAATATCAATATGAAATGCTGAAAGTATACGGATAGTTATACATCTGTATGAAATATTTCATAAATATCTTAATATGTGTGAACATATTTTGACAAATATAGCGTTATTTCTAATTGTGTTTGGTAGATAATGAAAAGCATATTGGTAAAAGAAACCTTTGCAAACAATGCGGCTAATTTCAAACTGATTTATTTTGAAATAAATTTGATAATTTCTTCTTTTTACATTCATTTTCCTGACGAATGACAATCGATGATACATGTATCAGAAAAATATTTTATCATTTTACTGTTATTTACTTTTTTTCAAATATTGAGAATAAAATCTCCACTATGATTTTATTTTATTTTGTAATGAAATCAAGTGGAGGACAAATCAAAAAGTGAACTAAATGTAAATGTATGTACATATGAAAAATTTAGCATATTTTTTTTTTCTGAAAGAAAAAACTTTTCATAATTTTTATTTCTTGCAATTTAAATAAACAGTAAAAAAAAAACAAAACGAAAAAAAACAAAAATGTGCATGACATTGCTGTGGAAAACACTGAAGGTAAAACAAATATTACGAATTTGCAAAAAAGAAACAAATTGAACGGAATATTCGTTTATCGTGATAATGAGCGCAATGCATGTATTTTAGTCAACCTAATGTACCGATAAATAAACGGTGTCAGAAAGGTATGCATCGAATCCATTACAAATACGAAATAGAGTATAGATGGTGGCACGATAAAGTTCCCTGACTACTTTACAGCTCCGAGAGCCAAGCATAGGTACAAAGGACAAGATAGGGTAACAGCCGAATCTTGCCCCTTATTTGATGTAAAAATCAGAACCCTGATAGAATTGTGATAGCTTGTAGTTAAGAAGTTAAAATGATGCTTACTTTAAAACAAGCCCTAATTTAGATTCAAAGTTTACATGGAAGCCACTAGACGGCGCAAAAGTAAGACATTTTCCAGAATTTCCTCAATTCTGGTGGAATTTAATCATATTTGAGATACTTTTCTCTACGGTAAGCTTGCCTATCTGAGAATTTTACACATAAACTGCATCTCATATTTGTGTATAAAATCTATAAATTTGGTAGAAAGAGCTTGTGCTCTATGTTTTCCGAAACAAAATGTGATGTAAAATCGTTCCAAAAGAATTATTTGGGCAGCACCGTCCTCTTGCTCAAATGCCTCATAAGGTTTCTCAATTGTTTTGTTAGTTAACTTGTAAAAGCAGTATTATTTCAATGTCAAAATATTGAGGGGAAAATTATATCTCATTAAGAAACGTATTCTATGTTCTTTAGCTGTACTTTTAAATTCTGTTCACATTAAGTGACAATCAAGTGACAATTTTTTCTGTTTATTTACGACACATTCTGCAGAGATTTAGTTTAAAAGAGTTATAAATGCCCAACAACTTTTTTTATACATCTTTGAAATACAACGTAAATTTTTATATCTTTCAAAAGTAAAGTATAAAAGAACGTGGGCGCTTTTGATGGGCATTCGGCAGGAATCTGGGCGTACTTGAAATGTGAAAATTTTTATTGACATGTCACATGAAATTTTAACACTTTTTTATTTATCGGGTTCCTGTGCAACAGGAAAGGAAAATATTTGCCTGAAATTGAGCTCTGATTAGCTAAAAAATATAATGAAAATTGGCCAGATCAGACATTTGGTACAAAAAGGTACATTTTAAGACACGTTTTTCTAAAAATTCTCTATCTCTAGGTCTTCTCTCCATGATTTTGAAACGTTATTCGTGTGTATTTAAATTCAAAGAAACGAATACACGGTTTTAAAAAATGGAGAGAAGACCCAGAGACCACGAAAAATTAACTTTTCCCAAAAAAATCCAAATGTGTGAATGTGGTGCTTCTTTGTCCTTTTAAAATTATCGGAACACGTGAAGCGGTGATAGCTCAGTCAGTTGGGTTACCTATTGACTGCACTGGAAGCGTAAAGTTTTTGGTTCGAGCCTGGCATGGGGCGTTAATTTTTTTTAATGCAAACAACCATTTATTTTCTCAGTATCATTTTATGTGCTTAGGTAATAAAATTTTGAATTAGATAAATTTTGGTTCAGTTTGGTTCTCGAGTAAAATCAATTCAGAATCTAATCTTCTATTCTGTAATGTACATGTATCATGCATCTATGCATTAAATATTTTAGGTGTTTACTTTTTGTGAAACATTAATATTTTACAGTACCCCCCCCCCCGAAATAAACGGACATAAATGTTACAATTTCACACAGTCTTTCAAACTAAATGAAAAAAAAAAACTTAGTATGGACGTGCTTGAAAAATCTGACCAGCTATGTTCAGCCAACCAAATCATGGACATTTAAACCATAGAGTAGGCCCCGATACGCCTACAATATGCCACTGTATGGCTGCTGTTTCCTACAGACAACTACGGTAAGCCTCAGTTTATGCCCCAGTACGCCCCTGTATATGTTCATTGAAGCAAAAAGAAGAAGTATACACACTCCCAGAGCACTGTACGGTTACCCAAGATGTGGAATTATCAATTTAGTGCACAGAGTTACTTACCTGAGAAAATCTTTAACAAAATTTTAAACATATACTTAGTTATATATTTTTTATTTGTTAAGAAACTTATCGAGTTCTGTCATAACTCTGAAATAACTCTGAAAAATTAATAAATCATTGCTCAAAAAAATATTTATCTATCAATTTTTTAAAATAAATTATTTTTTTTTAATTAATTGATTATATTTAATTAATTATTTTATTTATTTATTTTGCGAACACCTATTTAATCCAATAATATACTTTGAGTGACTTTGTTACTTTTGTGAAAAAAAAAAAAAAAAAAAAAAACAATAGGGGTAATGATGCATTTTGGAAAATTCTAGATTTTAAAATTGATTGTTTTTCTTTGAAAAACTAAATAAAATTAATTCACAATTGCAGAGCTGCATCATGGACACGGCACAAAATAAACAAGATAAAGTGGAAAGTAAAAATTAAATAAAATAAATGACTGTAAAAATACAAAAATTAATTAATAAACTAATAATTTATTTTATTTATTTATTCTGTTTACAAATATATCTACAAATACATAAATAAACAGAATAAAATAAATAATTTATTTATTTTTGTAATTGACAAGACAACAAAGCAATCAATTATATATACCCCCCCCCCCCAAATTGATCTTTTTAAAGTTTTATTTCATATTAATATAATATCCTATAATATGCTACTAAGTATTTTTTAAGCATATTAAAACGATTTTTAATTATTTTATGTCCATGATGGATATCAAAATAATCGTCACATTATGCACAATTTTAATTTGTCAATTGCAATTTCATATTTTTACTTGTTTTGATTGAAAAAAAAATCGGTTTTCAAAACCCTAACACAATTAAGAAAGAACTTCAAAGCCATTGATTGTTTACCAGTGATACGGGGTACACAGTAATGACACTTTTTGTCCTTTTTACTGACCACTATTTATTTTGTGACAGAAAGCGACCGTGTCCGTGCAGTTGTTTGAAATAACATTTTCTCTGTGTATGAGAACCGATTTTTGTCAATCAAAACAAAATAAAAGTATCAATAAAAGCTATT